TTTTATTGGGATGTAAGTCATGTAAGATAAAATTCACCCATTTAAAGTGTACAATATCAAGATTTTTAGTATGTTCATGTACAACCATTACCACCATCTAATTTTAGATATTTTCCCTCATCCTAAACCCCACACCTGTTAGCAGTAATGCTTGCCTCCCACCTTGCTCAACCCCTAGGAACTTGTGATCTACTTTCAGTCTATCCAGTTATTCATATTAAATAGAATCATGTAATATGTGGAACCTTTTTCTAAATGGAAGAAAGGAGACCTGATGGTCCCCTCCTCCTATTTACCCTATGACTTCAACAAAAGCCTCCTGCACCTGCTTGCTGATACACACATTCCCTTAATCATGTCTGTGGGTGTGAAGGTGGGGGCATACTAGGAACTAGACACAAGGCCTTTCAGTGCTTAGCTTACTAGACTGAAGTGCAAGAATATCTGGGGGCAGGGCCAGGGCAGGGACTTGTATGCTCACCAGGATGCAGGTAGAGGAGTAGGCCCGCCAGCATCCTTGTTGATAAATCAGGTCACCCTGGCCCTAGGGGCTGAGCACTCCATTCTGGCACCATAGGGTGGCAGAGCCCACTGACCTGGCTGGCCCAGGCTCAAACACCACACAGACTTCTCTGGCGGCAACCACTGCTGATTAAAGAGCCTTGCACCCATGTTCGCTTCCGCAGAGGCAGAAAGCAGGACGTCTCTTGGAGCTTCTGGGCAGTTCCATGCCCCCTGCCTCGGTTTCAAACATGAAGAAAGTGCGGGTTTGGGCTACCAGGGGAACCGGGTGACAGACAACCTTAGGAGTATCATCATCGTAAAGGGGAAGTTTGATAGGGTGAAGCATCCTTCTCCCAGGTTTCAGCAAAGAAGGCTAAAGAAGTAGGCAGGGCAGGTGGCCTGGAGTGAGCGAGGGTCCCGCGTGGGAGGGCAGCGCGGTGTACTCACAGTCTGGTGAGGCCGGCCCGTGGGCCGGGGCAGCGCAGGGCGCTGTCGGGCGCGCAGTTGCAGGGCTCCGGGCAGCGCGCCCCGCGCAGCGCTCGGGACAGCGGCGGTAACACCAGCAGCAGCGGCAGCGCCAGCAGCAGCTGCGGCGCTGGCGACCGCTGCCCCATGGCCAGCAAGCATGAGTGCCGGCTCCTAAGCCTGGGCCAGTGTCCTGGACAGCCCCTAGCCCGAGGGCGGCCCGCGCCCGCTGCCCGCCCTTCAATCTGCCCTCCCACCCACTGTCCCTTGGCCCGCCCCTGCTCTCCCCTTTCACAGCGCCCCAGCTGAGTCCCTTCTCCCCGGTCCTGGAACCTTGGTCAACTGCCCCATCACAGTCTTTCTGCTGCTTTCCCTAACGCAAATGGTCCCAGTTTTAGGAGGCAGAGTGATACGTGGCGAATGCTTTGGGTGAAGAGTGGGGAGTTCTCAATTCTGCTCTGCTGCAGAACTGCAGTAGTGAAGTTGGGTGATCTGTGGCACTTCCTTATTTCGTCCGTGAGAGGGTCAGATGGATACTTGCAAACACGTGGAAGGAGTGAAAGTGCCTTCTCAGAAGCTTCTCCTCTTCTTCAGGCTCAACGCCAGATCCTAGTTCCTTTTCTCCGACCAAGTCCCTTCATACTGCAAGTTCTCTCTCTTCCCAGCTTCCCCAGTGATTCCTCTGTTTTCTCTTGTAGTAACTGCTCTCCTCCTTACAGGATAGCTATTTGTGACCTCCACTAGAAATTGTGAGTTCCATGAGAGCAAAATTCAACTCAGATTTATTTTTATATTCCTTATGGTTTCTATCTGGTAAGTCCTCACATAACTCAGCTGCCCCAGTGGAAGGCCCAATATAGACCCTATGACAGGTGCCCTGCGTTGCATCATGCTTGAGCTTCATGCCAAATTAGCAGGGCTTTTACTGTAAGATAAATGGTGTCCCAAGAGGTATGTGACTTCCCTGGGGGAGGGGGGAGGGAAAAAAAGAAAAAGAAAACACAACTTATAAATAGAGAACTCCTGTTTGCCTCTTAGCTATATCATCCACTGTCTCTCATCAATGCAAAAATACTGCTATACAGTTTACATACCAAGGGGCTTTGAAAAGAGATCAGATTGTATGGTAACCATGGGATGTATAATTTTGCCTCTAATTTGATCATTAAGCTTTTTTCTTTCTTCCAAGGATTTTGCTTGGACTCTAGGAATCCTAGAAGTCTTGCTTGAAGAAGTGGACTTTCAGAGCTGGGAGGGTGTCTAAAGCTCTCAAGACAGGAAACATATAACTAGATTTATTTCTGAAGCTGATTCTCAAAGATACTCTCCTTCAGTCACCAGTCTCTTGGCCAAGGATGGTAGATTATTATTGTTTTAGAAAATAATTTGGCTTTGGCCACATTGTGCTTAATGGCACAGAATCAGTGCTTTTTTTGTAGGAGGGTATTGGGGATTAAATTCAGGGGCATTTGTCCACTGAGTCACATCCCCAGACTTATTTTGCATTTTATTTAGAGACAGGGTCTCACTGAGCTGCTAATCATCTCACCATTGCTGAGTCTGGCTTTGAACTGACAACTCTCCTGACTCAGCCTCCCATGCTACTGGGATTATAGGCGGGACCACTGTGCCAAGCTAGAATCAATGCTTTTGTCTATAATATAGTCTTCTCTGGATCTCTCTTTCCAAGTGCTTATCTGATTACTTATACTTTTCATACCTTGCATATGTTGTTCTCAATATTCGAAATGATTTTTTTTTCCTTTCCCATTATTCCATCAGATAGACTCCTGGTTGTACTTCTAGACACAGCCAATGTCATTTCCATTGTGTGACTTTTCTGACTCAACATAGCTGAGTAGTTCTTCTGTAATACAATACACTGTAATTTGGGGTAGAATTTTGCTTTCCTGTCAATTGATTTTTTTTGGGGGGTACATTAAGAGCATGTCACAGCTTCTAGTTCCTAGTAGGTGTTCCATGTTTAACTATTGAGAAATAGAATAAATAAATGAAACCCAAGCTCAGGTCTATAGCAGATGCTTGAATTATGTGAAGAACTTAACAACATTGCTTGGTTTCTTCTCAACCATACTGCATCTATCTGCATAAACCTCAAGTAATTATCCATGATTATTTTGGGGTCACATTGTCTCTTCTGTTTTATCTTTGTCAGATTTTGGTAGGGAAGTTGAGGTAGCACTGGACTTTTTAAATGATTGTATTGTGTGGCCTGAATTGCAAGAAAGAAGCAATGAGTAATTCAAGGTAGCAGAATGGAATTTATTTCAAGTCTCATGTTTTATGTTGTGTTTTCTTTTTACTCCATAGCTTATTTGTTGTGTTTATATAAAATGCTTGCTTTTGGCTAATATTGCATATTTGAGAACAGTGGCTATTTCAGGAGGAATTATTTAATTATGCACTCTGGTTGGAGAAGGACTGGGAAATCAGGACTTTTGGATTTTCCATCTTGCTCTGTCATCAGCCATGTGATTTGATCTTTGGTTTCTTTATTTGTAGGAGGGAATTGTTTCATAATCCCTAAGACTCATTTGCATTTTTATTTAGAGACAGGGTCTTTGAACTTTGCAGCTCCTGCCATATTCTTGAGGGGAGAAGTTGAGGTGTATATATTAACTCCTTGTAGCTTGCCTTATGTAAAATTCCTGTTTATAAAGAGGTGAGGTTGTTCATGTGGAAGAAAGTTTACAACTGTAATGAGTTTTGTTAAATTTTGCTATGATTAATTTCAGTTGAATCTTAATTATCACCAGTCAATTCCTGCAGTGTACCCATTATAAGAATATCACATTGAATTGCTTGTTATATATTTGTTATAATGGAATTTACCTTTCCTACTCATTAATATGTGACCTACTTAGAGTATTTTTAAATCTGAAGGACTTCTGTTTTATATAACTATGCCTATAGCTACTATTGTTACAGAACTTCAAAACAGTATGACCCATAGGATTGCTAATTACATTTTCCTGACAAAATGAAGTTCATGGAATTCACAAGAAGTTTATCCATCTTAAAGAAATGAAAATATCTGACACTACAACCAGAAATCCTAATTAAACTCCCAAAGTTTTAGAAGAGAGTTCATGTATTAGGGTGCAGAATTGTCATTTACAAAGTTTAAACAAGATTCCTGGGACTTCCCCAAAAAGATTCTAATTCAATAGATATGCCAATGTATTTACACTTTAATAAGCTCCTCCATGCAATTTTGATGTATAGGGTTCCCAGAGCACAGTTGCAGGAACGCTAAACTGAATTTGCCTTAGGAAGACAAAGTTCAAGAATCCTTATGAAGAATTTTGAACTAAGCCTAAGTATTTTGTTGCATTGTTAAAGAAACATGCAGGTTTGTGTGTGTTGTGTTTAAATATTTAAAATTATTCAATTGGTTGTGTTGCTAAAATTTTTTTCTTTGAGTAACAGTCTATTCAAATTTACTTATTTATTTATCTTTTGAATAAGCATTATCATAAGATCATAAAATTATTTTCTTTATGCCTTCCTAGGTCAAAATTCAATAGCATTTGATGTTGCACTAAGACATACTGTGTCACACACAATTAAGAACTGGAGGAAGTTAACAAATCAATAATAATAATAATAATAATAATAATAATAATCTCTTAAGAATAATAGTCAAGATTTTCTGGTTTATTTATTTTTTGTGGTACTGGGGATTGAACCCAGGGCCTTGTGCATAAAAGGCAAGCACTCTACCATTTGGGCTATATCCACAGCCCTGGTTTTCTGATTCTTGAACACATATCCTGTTTGTACTATAGCTGATATTGCTTCTCTCATAAAAACAGTGGTTTCACTTGTCTCTTGGAAGGAAAGGTAAATGTAGGGTAAAGGAAGAAACAAAATGTGTAAGAAAAGATAAATACATTATGTCTTTGAGCTGATTACCTTGCTACCTGCAAGAAAATCCAAATCCAAGCAAGGAGAACTAAAAAGATGACCCCTAAAAGTTACACTCTGAAATTTCATGCAAATTTTCTGTTTCTTGCTTGGGAAATTTCATCTCCATTTTACTGCCTATACAGTATGAAACCAGAGATGTGAACAATTATGTCACCTCCAATGCCACCCTGGAGTTCTTGTGGGAGAGGAAGTTGGGGCTTCAGTGCCTAAGTACCTGGGTCTGGTCCTGGGATTGAGTGTGGATTAGAATGAGACGACTAGTCTGGGACTCAAGAATACTTCTCTGCAACTGATGGACCGAGAAAGATGTGGAGAAGAGGACTTATCTTTTTTGGTCATGTTGCTGAAAGAATCTGAAATAAATTGGGGTCTGCTGTTCTCCTTGTCTCATGGAAAAAGCCTGTCTGCACTGGCAATGACTGAAGCTCTGGGGATGATAATACAGATGAGAAGCAAGGAATCTTGATAATGTCCTTTGACCCCAGGGAATTGATCATATTTGAGGCCAGTTCCACATTTGAGTTCAAGTAATGAGACAATGCATTCTCTCTTTTGCTTAAGCTAGGCGGCAGTGTTGGGTTTCTGTCACTTGCAACCAGAAATCCTGATTTCCATTATCAGCTTTGCTGTGATTTTTTTGACCTGTCTACTTCCTCACCTCTTACCAGAGAGGAGAGAAATAGTCTTTTTTTATTCTTATCTCTGTCGCAGGACTCATTGCATCCTCAGTGAATTTTTCCCCATTGCATCATTCTGGTTCTGGTAATAAGTAGTTGAATGAGTGAATGAGAGTGATTGAGTGCACAAAAGGTAATATTGAGTACCATGTTATTTCCTTTCTTCGGGAAGCTGCATTTTGCTAAATAATTCGCCAAACATTCTTCTCATTTTTTGGTAAGGCCTTTTAAAAAACTGTGACCTTGATTTAGAAATTAAATTTCAAGCTAAAATATTAGAACCAACACAAAAAAGAGAAAACTTTCTGAAATGATGATATAAATCATAGGTAAATAGGATTTGATTTCTAAAAACTTAATGTAGAATTAATCAAAGTTTGTACCACAGGATATCTAATGGTTCCCTGCTATGCTAATTCTTAGTGTTTAGGGAAAAACGTCAAAGCCCAAGACATTTAAGGAACATTTAGTCTAAAAGTTAAAGAAGATTCTTTACTAGAGAGTTTCTGATAATTTTTAATA